GGCCTGAATGCACCTGGGGCGCACGGATGGGAATGCTCGAAATGGTTTGGGGTCATGCCCTATGAAACATTGTGCAACATGATACATGCAGAAAATGCATGTTGAAAGGTTTAGAAGCTTAGTCTAGCACTTTTGGACTCGGTCTTTGTCCACCCCGTTGGAGAAGGAGTCCAGCTTGGAAATGAGGTCGGTGATCTTTGACATCTTGGTCAGCATTCCATCGGCAAACTTATCCTCAACTTCCAACTCCTTATCTCTTGCCATGGCAAATCTGCATGGCTGATAAAGTCAAATGCCAAACCATATTAGATATCATTGACCAGCATTCAGAACATGCATGCCCACTACTCAAGCGTGTCCATTGTGCTTCGGGCAAGTCTCTCCCTCAGCAGGCGTTTGAACAGTGCCTTCCTTTTCACCACCAGGCTCACTGCAAGTTGGCTGGAACCAGTCGTTTGCAAGCTCCACACCACTTTCAGCCTGCACACCAGCATGCGTACGTTCAATATGGGTTCATGCATCACGCGCGCAGGCGCATTATGAACGCACTAGCTGATAAGGTTAATTTGAGGGAGGAAGACAATTTTCCAGAACTGAACTCATGCATGTATGTGTTTCTTTGGCATGCAAAGATGAAAACAAACATAATATTGTGCATGCCTATACGCACGCCTTCATGCAAGCGAGCATGCATGCATCTCACCGTGCACACAGCTTTACTTCATCCATGCAAGATGCAAACATGACCAGTTCTTGTGGAACAAATTCAATTAGCGCACATGATGGACAACGCGCATGGGTGCATATCTCCTATATCTCAAACAATGCAGGAAGATTATGTGTTTTTTTGGGATTGTTGGTTCAATTGGTCTGGGCTACCAGCTGGAGCTAGTGGGTTGCACAAAGAACGTCAATGAAAGGTCTGCAATATTTGAAGCCTGGCCTCCTCTGTAGATTGGTGCTGATGAGACTCAGTCCGGGAATGCTTGGTGGATTCCTTGTCGGAGTATTCCACAAAGTAGCGCATCACCTTCTCATTGTACTTGTCTGGCCTAAAGGTTTTGCGCGCAAGTCACGCACACGTGCAAATATGCACGCATGCATGCATGCTGGATACTGCAATGGCAACACGTCTCACGTACACTTAAGGGCTACCATCTTGCAGCTTTCTTTTACCTCATGCATGTTACATAACATTCCATATCTTTGATCGCCCAATGCGACCAAAGGCTCTTCACCAATCCGTGCTTTTTGCAATAGGCGACTACATCCTTGATGTAGCTCCTTAATCGAGAGCTCGTAGGTTGAGACTGCCTGTGAACAGTTCTTGCATGCCTGGTCTAAGGGTTTTATAGCTAGCTTACTCAATCAAAAGGCTAGGGTAATTTATATAGGGACAGACTGCGTGTGAATTACACAAACAATGTCGATAAGACGTTGCTGGAAGTTTATGCTGGGGTATGATCAACCAGAAGCAGCAATGTTGGCATCAGTGCTCGCAAGCATTCAGTGCCACAATGTGGGTTGAACTGGTCTATGGCTCGACGGCTCGACCCAGAATGAAAGGGTATATGCATGCCCAAGAAGAGGCAAAAGGACATGAAGCCACGGAAGCTGGCAGCAAGCCTGCAAACAAGTCCTTCGCACTATCAGGAACAAGCTCAAGGTGAACAGAAACACGATCTCAAGGTTTATCAGGAGCCTATGGATCAGACCAAGTTGCAGGATGTGCGAACAATGGCAACTAAGCCATTCTGGCTTTGATGGGTCACCGCAGAGAGTGTATTTGCATGTTCGAAGGCTGCTATATATACTGCGTGAGTATAGAAATTGCAACTATAAGCAATAATTTCATATATTCATCGATGCATGCATTAATCAGTTAGTTTCCATACCGAATCCGTTTAATCCACCACTTTGCAGAGCCACACACTACTATGCAACCAAGTATCGCACTCCACTTGAGCTCAGTTTTCATCATCTCCACGGTAAACCAGCCCTTCAAGACCTCCTGTGACTCTTCCTTGCGCTGATCGATCAGCTTGGTCACCTTGCACACAAGCATCTCCTGCGTTGCACGTGTGGGCGAAGTACTGCGTGGGAACGCTTTTATATAGGCACACATTGCTGCACAAACCAAACCTATATAGCTTATATAACACTAAGGGTTTCAACTATACACCTATCACACTGCATTCATGTGTTCTTTCATTCAATCTAAGCTGCAGTTCCAAAATAAATGATCCATGCATGGGCTCTATGTATATATGTGTGGGTAAAGCATAGCGTGCAATATAATGACTCGATATCTGCAAACCTGCCTCAATTAAACTCATGAATTGATGCATGCATATACTAAACATGGAACAGTGGCTCGATCCTTGTCAAAATCATTTTGCTCCAACATGGCTCGAAGTTCATCCCGTGATTTCCCTCCCTGAACCCACTGCTCATGGATTGACAGGGGCACGTTGAGCTTGCCACTGGGTTTTCTCTCGCATAGACGGCGCAACCTAGCATCCACCTTCTTGTATAATTGCAGGGCTGAGCGGTGATCATCATCTGCTTCCGGCACGTCCACGTCCACCTATAGGATGACACAGATTCAGCACTTCTAGCCACATGGGATTTGGACAGGTGATTGAAACACATTCATATGATTATAATTAAATTTGAAGTTGGATTGGTTTCCTCTAAGGAAAACAACAGTACATGGCAAGCACCCTTAAATAAAAGACCAGGCCTCTTTTGCGCTAGACTTTGGAGTGGTGGCTGAAGAGGGACTCGAACGGGCCATAGATTTAGCTGCTGACAGTGGGGGTCTCGGCTTGGTTCCGGCAACACTTGGGGATGGAGTGGCAGGCTGACTCTTCTTTTGCAAGTCGGAGATCAGGGCCAGAGCTTGATCAAGGCGAGTCTGGAGGTCACTGGCAGATGGCTCCTGCAATCCAATGGTTGCAACCCAAGCAGCCTTCTCATTTCGGTTTGGTGGACTTGCGTGCACATTTATGATGGCTGCATGTGCAATGGGGCCTGTATATATTTAGGAGGCATTGGTGAAATCAACTTAATGAACATCATCGTATTGACAAAAGGTTCACCATTATCACAAGAACGATGCGTGCGTATGCGCATACACGTGCCATGCAAACTATAGGTTTTTTTCAGCCTGCAAACTTGAAACATTGGATGATAAACACTTTGCCGGTGAAAACTGCTATTGGGATCCATGCTGATGGATCAGCTTAGTCTGTAAACTTAAGATATTGAACTAAACCCACACACAGGCAGAAGAACCCGATCCTCAGCCGTCGCACCGCTCCCACCATCACTCGCTGCAGCACTTGGAGCAGGTGTGGCCACCGCTTGGACAGTGCCCTGTCGAAGGTCAGCCTGCGCAGGACGCGGGATGTGCAGACAGGGCCATTGCTGCTTTGTTACAACTTGCCATTGGTCCAGGCATGGCACATACACCTAAAGCCCCATCAATCCCCTATGAAACTACAATAAATTCATATATAAATCAAGTTCATCCATTCCACAGGGAGATTTTTGAACATGCAAATATAGACTTGGTTACACATCACCGCCTGGTCGGCACCATTCTTTGCTTTCTTGGGAAATGACGCTAACTGCTTCACCGGTGTGGTCTTAGTCGACGGTGGAGGAGCACGCTTCTGGGAGGCATGCAATTCCTCTTCAGTCGCCTGAGGTCACCAGATATATATATGAATGCATCCATGTGTACCGCACCTTCTTTGAAATACATTCAATGGTTCACATGCAAGCTAGAGAAAACCATTTGCGGACACGATGCTGGCTGTGTCTCAAGTTCCTCAACTTCAAATTGAGAAAGCCAAATAGCAGTTGTTTCTCAACAAGAGGCTTTTTGGTTTTGAGCCTTTTCACCTACATAGAAATGAACGCGTAGAGTTGATTGGTTGGCTCCAGGCAAGGTGCTGATAAAGCAGCAGCTTCCATTTGGTTGAGTTCCTCCAACTCCCGCCGCATGGCCTGTTGCAACATAGGCATGGACCGTATCCCCTGAACTCAGATAGCTCTATTGCCATTTACATGCACGCAATGAGTGGTTCATGTTATATGCTTCATGCATGGCATTGAAAATCATTGAAGATATCTTGCACGCATAATACATGCACATGCATACATGTGCCATGCAGCTTGCACCACTCTAAAGCTTTGGTTTTTTGATTCCAATGACAGCTAGTTAACACAAGTTGAGAAGTCACATGTCAAATGCTTTGGAAAGAACGCTGCAAATCAACACCGCTCAATTCCGACACCCGGCCCTCCTCCTTCTTCAATTGCAACTCCTTGATACGATCCGCTTTATCGCCAGGCTCTTGCTTGATCATCAACAAGGCATTGTTGCCAGAGGCCAGCGAACCGCAGCTTCGGATTTTGGACATGGGTGGAAGGATAGCCCGGCAGGGGTGGGGCAGGGACAACAACCTGGGCGCTTACCTCACTGAGTCTTTCCAAGGTTTGAACCAGTGTTTCCACAAGAAAGAACATGAATGCATTGCTGCGCCATGCCAGTAAAAGCAACAGGAATTTAAGCAATGTGAAACATTGCGCAATGGATTTCATACAGACATGAGGAGCTCCATTAATATATAACTCCATGCATGCATTCAATTCCTTTTCAATGCTGTGAATTTGAATAAGATCACTCTCGAGACACACACGGTCTGACCCAAGTGTTCACAAACCAGGCTCTCACCAACCAAAGTTGTCCAAAACCTGGCAAAATCGCATTTGGCAGTCTACGCCTAAAACACGTAAAATTACGTAGAATTCTACGGGTAAATATGGGTTGTCCACGGGGTATTTACGGGTTGTCCACGGGTCTACACTTTTTTATGGGTTATCCACGGGTGAAAACCTGGTTTTAAAACATTGGGTTCAGAACCATGTGAAATTGGCTTTGCTTAAGCTCGATTTTGTGAGATTTGGGCTCGTACGTAGATCGAGCTGTCCTAAAAGTCTTCAGGGAGCAAATGTGGTTTCCACTTTGCCGGAATCTCAAGGGACTTGTTGCCCCTGATGTATCTAAGAACCTCCGGAGCCCCGGCATCCTCCCACATGTCGTCAAAGGATTCGGCCATGTAGCTCTTGAGAGGGTTGTACCTCCGCGGCATTTGATCGAAGGTCTTGCATCCATCTGCCTGCAATTTAGGCAGGATCCTCAGCACTCGAAGGCCAAAGCGGTAGGGATAATGCCTTAGTTGGCAAAGGGGGCCATGAATGCAGGGACCTTCCATTTGTGTGGCAACCCTGACCCAAACCCAGTTTCCAGTATTCAAAAAGCTTTTGAACCCGTACTCTAAGTTTGAAATCCTCAAGTATCACCAAAAGTCCCTTAATGTAAAGCGCTTCCTTTCCCAAACCACAGTTGTAGCATTCTCAGGAAATGGTCTTCACGCAGGGATGTTGTCGCTGACCACAAGCACCGCAAATACAAATGGTTCTTGAAGGAAGTGAGGTAAGCCACATAGCTACTGGCTTGTTGTGGTACACTTCCTCTAGCTATAAGTCCTGGCATATGACCCACACCCCACACCCCAAGAAGCACGCGCAAACAAACTACAATAGGACAGCCGAGTCCTTCCACGCATGATTATACATGCTGCGCCTGCATTTGGGGGTCAACTGCTTCAACCCTTCTTGATGTGAAATCCCCGGTGAAACCCAGCCACTGAAAAAAAAAACTTTGAGCCATGCTGATGCTGGTCTAAAGGGTGGATGTTCGACAAAAGCACCAAACACATAACAACACCCCATCAATGGTCCAGGCGCTGGCTTTCTTTCAGCTGCTTTCGCTGCCCACTGAACTGTTTCTTACCAGTTGTTTTGTTGATGGTCACCTTCGCCGTCTTGTGTTGTTGGTATTCAGGTGCTTTGTAATTAAACCGGGACAGCTTCCCTAGGTCAAGCCATCCGATAGCTCGACTGTTTGACCACGCAATATGCCTCTTAGGTGTCTTGGACGAATAGTGCGCCATCCACCATCGTGCGGCCCAGGCCTCGGTTCCGGGCAGGGCAAAAGTTCAAAAGGGGACAATATGTGTTCACCTATGGTGAATGGGCTGAAAGGGTTACATGTCAATTGCTCCCATGCAGTAGCCCATCTGGGACCCAAAAGCACCCTTTTCAAGCAATGTTTCTTTCGGAGCTCCCACCGGAATTTCAGGTCATGAGGACATATTACAGCTCAATGCAAGCTGAACATCTTGCATAAGTTCCTGCGTGTATTTATATAGTGCAAGCTAGCTTGCTAGAGTTATTAGATTTGACCCGTCTGACACTTTTCAGAGGGCGCTTTGTGGCACCAAACCTCCAAGAATACCAGGATTGTTTCTGAGACTATATCCACCATGCACCAAAAGGATTGTAACAAGGGATCCCATGTATTATATATATTGAACAAGGGTTCGACTCATTATGTGTAGAAACTCCAGCAGTATCACACATGCATGCGCGTTCCACCCAGATAGGAGCGCTTAAGTCCACCGGACTCAAACACTCCGACCTTCATGCTTCCAATCCCTTCTGCAGCTGCCCGGAAGCCAGGAATGCTTGAGGCTGGAGTGCTTATAAGTCCTGTAAGTCCCTGGTCCCAAGCCCCCTGGATCGAAACAGGTAAATGTTAAGTCAGGAGCGCTTAACCCACTTAAGTCCGGTGACTCCCAGGGTCAGAGTGCTTATGTCAGGTGGACTTAAGTGCTCCTGCCTTCTGGGCAGCACAGCGGGGTGTCAGTGCTGCAGAAGCGGGATGTCTGAGGTAGAACATCTCTGTTGGGCAGATCCTCTGGAGTTTTTACCTGGCTGAGCATTCCGACAGCCAGCTAAAAGCTCCACAGATTTCCCTGACAACGGTTGACAATACGGGGATCGAAATGTTGGTTTTCGACAATGTAATTAACCAAGCAAAGGGATCAACGCAATGAACCAAGCAGAGGGATCGTGCATCCATATTGGATCTTGGGACCCTCAAAACCCTTGCTTACGCTACCACACCGGGAGCTCTGATAAGTTCCACCCAGGCCCATACATGACAAGTCCTGAAGCCCAGATTTCTTTGGGCAGTCCCAGATGTCCTTCGCAAATCCCCGAACCAGGTGAAAGGGATGCTGTTGGTGCCAAGCACGCTATGCATGCATGCATGCACCCTTACAGCGCATTCCCTACCAACAGCTGTAGCTCATATAAGGAAAAAAACAAAAGACTCTTTGTACAATTGGAACCATGACACCTTGAAGTTTCGAAATGCCTCCATTACACGGGGGTGATACCGCAATAGCGACAACGATGGTTGCTCCACGATCCAGCACCCAGACATCGCTTCGACCAGGTAGAGCAGAAGAGCTAACCTGAGCAATGGAGAAAGGCGCTTCTCCAGGGATTTTTTTTGGGGGGGTGGATATTGAGGGGAGACCGATGATTTAAGGGAAACCATGGGAAGCCATTAAGTATAGTGATCAGAAAAGAGTTGGACAACATGAAAGTTAAACTTTGCATGTTTTCCAAAGCACCTTGACGCCATCTCATTGGCCTTTTGTACATAGACCCGCTCTGGACAACCCAATGGTGTGCACACGCTTCGTCCACTGGTGCCCATATTGATGGTAGTCCAAGAAGAACACACTATGGCGCATAGAACTGTGAACTGTCCATGTTTTCCGTTCAGAATGGTCGCCAAGGCCAACCTTGGCTTGGGGACTAGCTTGGACTGAAACTCGACAAGCGTGCATTTGGTGGTTCATCGTCTTTCATTGGCGCAGCATCGCCAAAAACTATATTGTTGCATGCGTGCATGTACCATAAACAAAGATCCAGATCATTTCCAAGACACAGAAACCCTGATGAGGTGAGAATGTCAAAATGGTTTGACCTATGAGGGTGCTCCGGGTCTGGATGGAAATACTCAATATCCAAGGCCGCAGCAGCCCGGCCAGACTTCTGAATCATTGTTGTAGTCAAAGCTCGGCCAGCCCAAAGCTCCACAAAGTCATAGGACTGACAGCAGTCGGCCGGTTATATAGCGCACGTATGCAAAGGATCACAAACACATGCAGTCGACAGGGAACTTGCGTGCAAATTGTTCTTAAGAACACATACGTTTTGTTGAGTGCTCTACGATATGTCACTGCACATCCCGGACTAGCTATTTTTGGGTGTCCCAGTTTCAACCATGCAGTGATATTCTTGCATACATGCATGAAAACATGTTCCTGTGAGACAAGTCGTCCATGTCCCTTCTCCAACCTCCGTCAGGGTCTTCACATTCGAGGACCAAAGCAGCATCAAAACCATTGCCATCAAGACCTCGATTGGTTGGAAGGTTGGGGACCCAAAGGAAGAGGATTGAACGTATCAATCAACTCGTCATCCTTGCGTTTAGTTCAAATTGAGAGATATGGGAAAGACAGGAAACTGAACAAATTACCCTCCTCCTCCAATATGTACGCATGAAGGTAAGTTGCGGGTGGGATTTGCGGGTAATATAGAGCCGGCTTCTCAAACCACAAGTATATGCACACATGCTGCTACTGTAGTTAAGATTTTGCAAGCCACATGTGTGGGGTGCAATTCAAGTAAGACTTGAACGCATGCATGCTCAAGCTAACCATGCATCCTTCACAAAGCCCAGGAACCACTGTTTGCATGCGTGAATTAATGAATGAATGGGGCTCTCAGGGTCTGACCTTCGGGGCGCCAACCAACTGCAATCGAAACAGCAGTTGTGGAAGGGTCAGGGGGCTACACACCATAGCTGCAGCAAAGACCAGTGCCTTAAGAGTCACGGCTTTGAAGACTTAAATGAATTAACGCCTCAATGAGACACGAGCCAAATGTTGCATCGCAGAGTTCAGTGTTCCATTTTGCTGGATCAAGACCAGCATCCACGCGCATGCATGCATCCAAGTCTTCAGGATGGAAATACATGTTATTCCAATCCTAGAGGTCTCTTAAATCTTGACCGATGTACTAGCTGCATGCATATTGTTGGTTTGTTCTCTTATATATATGCATGAAAACATATATGCATGCATCATCCATCAACATACTCCCAATTATGTGGATAATTTCCTCAAAAGGTTGAGTTGTTCCCTGAATAGCTTTCCTGTAATCGCTTTAATCTCGCCAGCTCTACCATCCCCATCTTCTGCAGCACTTTCAAGCCTGACTTGCCAGGCTTTCCGCTTTCCCATAGAAGACCTCAGGACAGGCAAACGGGGAAGCTGCGACATGGGCAAGCAGGGCGAAAGGTGCACTGTGTGGAGCGAAGTGGCACACCTTCCAGCTATAAAGGAACATGGGCAAACATATTCCACCATTATCATTAACTACAGTTCATGGATGATCGCAAATAGCGATTGGGATGTTTCAACTAACCCTGGCGCCGCACAAACTCCCTTTTCTCGCCAGATTGGAAGTTGCAGGTTTATGGTTCACAAAGCAAATGGATGCTGTTAAGCCCGATTGGAAGTAAGCTGCTGCATACCAACACGCAATTGATGGCCAGCGCAAAGGTTTCAAAGACATGTTGGAAACACTCTAGTCTTTCTATGAACATGTTTGCCCCTGTTGTTAAAATCAAATCTCTGTGATTGGATAGAGGTATACGCGTGTTTAAACCCAAAAAATCGAGTATGGTATGCATGTAAAACATGTTTGATACAGAATTGACACCCCTTGCACACGGCCCTAGCAATTGGTGACCCCCTCTTGCAGCAGCCTAATTGTATATACCATTGCCTTGGACGCCAATCCCGCAACGTGATAATATGCGAGACGCTTTCTCAACCCTCAGCTTCCACCATGCACCACACTGGGAGAAACAAGGACAGCTAGTGCATGTGACAAATCTACCCATAAAGGTAATGCTGGCAAAGATATATAAGTGCACGCACGCAGGCATGCATTATGCATTATATATGTTGCATTTCTTAATTCCACCGCTTTTAGGTCATGAACTAATACTTCAGAGCTCAGAATTGCTGTGCCTGTATAAATTAAGACATACTTGGTTTGCCGGATGCATGGCTAAAGGAAGCAATAATGAGATGCTTCAAAATTTGACTTCACTGGGCATAGTCGCTCAATAGTCACTTAGGGATTTTCCCACAGCATGAGCGATGGAAACACCAATGACAAGCTCAATCAATGCAGTTTTCAGCGCCACAACCTCCTCAGACTCCAAGTCTTTGCACTGTGTGGCCGGCTTGTCCCCACCAACAAACTCCACCTGAGCGAAAGTCAAGAATATAGAAGGGAGCACCCTGCAGGTATAGCGGGTTCCAAACATATAGCATCACAGCACTTGAATGTCTTTCAGCACTATATAGATAGGATGCAGGCACCCAAAAAGAGATCACTAGAATTGTACTGATATCTCATCAGCCCAAGCTTACGTAATCAATCAATTGTAAACCAAATTAAGGTAGCATGCATGCATGGCATAGCTTGATTGAACAATGTTGCAACCAAACATAACAATATGCAAAATAATGCACATACTGTTTGCGCAAAAGATTTGAACATGCACGCGTACATGTTTTTATGTTACAGTAAAGCGTTTGTGAAATCACAGTGTGCGCTGCAACTACACTTGCATCAACCCTTTCGTTGATTCTGCGGGCAGGCTTTAGATCATGCATAGTATCATGCACGTATGCAATTTGCTGAAATATGCTGAAATCATTTCAAAAATGAGGTTCTGACGAAGCAGAGACATGCAGCCATAGGAATGCCAATGTGGCTGCACACTTGCCCGCCACTGAAACTGCACACATGAGTCTTCTTCTTCCCTGAGCCCGTGCGCTGAAGCAATCCCACACGACGTGCCTCCCAATACATGCTGAAGCCCCAATGATCCATCTTGCGTGCCCAATTGCGCTCCGGGACCTTTGCGGCATCGAACATCTTCTCAGCAAAGAACAGGGCTGCTGGATCGTTCTTCGCTTCCCTCAAAATGTTCTGCGCCATTTCAATCTGGGCT